TCTTATTGAAAAAGAGGAAGTTTAAAACCTATCACTTTCAGGGGCTGGGTTTTTAGCTCAGTGGTCGAGCACTTGCCTCGCACATGTGAGGCACTGGGTTGGATCCTCAGTACCACATAAAAAATAAATAAAATAAATAAAGATATTGTGTCCATCTTTAAAAAATCTTTAAAAAAAAGAATATCACTTTCAAAAGCAGAAAGAAAGTCTCTATAAAAAGAAGTCATTCTAAACGCTATCTGGAATTGGTTTCAAACAAGATTCCAGAAGATTGAATGAAATGTCAATGAGTCACAATTCGCCTGAATTTGTCATTGTAAAGTTGGGTAGTGAGTACATGGAGATTCATCATACTATTCTATCTTTTGTTACCTGTTAAAAACTAACCACAACAACCAATTTAAAAGATAGTCATTTCATGAGGACTAATAACAACATGCACAAAAAAATTTAAAATTCCTAATTTGCCTTAACAAAACAGTAAGTGAAATTACAACATTCATATTTCTCCAGCTGAACTTAAAATCAAATTGGTACATTTGGGTTCACCATTCAAATACTGAAAGCATATATTACAAGTTTGAAACTTAAAAGGAAAAAACAATCTTGTTTAGAATGTAAAAATAATGAAGAGGTGCTTTACTGACATAAGATTCATTGCCTTCCTATCCTGGTTCTCTTATGTCTGAGGTTACGCAACAGGGCAAAAATTAACTGCCAACTACCTGAAATTCCTAAGTGACAGTGCTTATCAAAAGAGTCATGTTCTGCTTTATGGAGCTAGTTTGATATGAAACTTCAAATGCTCTTAACCTAATTTCACAATCAAATCTCTCAAGACATGAAGTGCACCAGCAGGATCTTTCCACTAGCTAAGAGGTTGTAAAGTTACTCTCACTAAGGTAGGTCCAGAATATAGTATACCTGCATAATGCCTGGGCACCTATGTGCCCAGGAAAGCATCAATTCTCACTGTATCCTCACAGATAATCCTTTCCTTAATTTTAAAAGTATATATAAATTTGTTATTTTAAGGAATTTCCCTGAACTGTTAAATAGCTGAAGAAACAAATAGAAACCCTGGGATTGCTTAAATGCCTACAGTAGAAAAATTGTAATTGAGTTAATTAATTGTTCTTATCTAAATAGAGGGTATTAAAATTACTTGAAATACTTAAGAACAATTTGTTTCCAAGATTGGATTTTTAAATTATCTTTCTCCTCCCTATTAATGGCTCTAGATTCCTGATAAGGTGTGAGCTGTGTCCTGAACCATAGGACCTAATCTTTGAGCTCTGATTCTTGGTAACAGCCTTACTTGACAACCCATCCCTATTTCCACTGCCCTGAACTGGCTAAATATTTGAAAAATACAACAATCTCAACTCCTCTTACTTCAAGTGATGTTTGCTTCAAGTCATCTGTAGTTCTAGCCATAAAAAACATAAGCACTCTTAACACTCTACCTTGCTAAAAAATCACCTACTTTCCTAGCTGAATCTACTTAACATTTAATAAATGCTCAGTAAGAATAAACAAATAAATATTTGCATAATTTGACTTCTACAAAATTAGAGGAATCTTTCTGTATTTATTTCCTTTTGGTAATTTTGTAGAAGTCAAATTATGCAAGTATTTATTTACTTATTCTTACTGAGCATTTATTAAATGTTAAGTAGACTGGCTGGGAAAGTAGGTCCTTTTTTAGCAAGGTAGACTGCAGTGAGATTTACATTAAAATACCAGCAGTATGAGCTGGGGTTGTATATCAATGGTAGAGCACTGGCCTAGCATGTGTGAGGCACTGGGTTTGATTCTTAGCACCACATATAAATAAATTAAATAAAGATCTCTTGATGACTAAAATAAAAAAGCAGTAGATAATTCTGTAAATTACAACACATACATTAAAATACTACACAGATTTATTAACTTTTAAAAATATTAATGCTACTGAAATTTCTATTGCATAATGCTAAATAAAAATTCAGGATTCAAATGTATATGACACAGTTAATATAATGTATAAATGTGTAAGATTTAAAAATTAGTTAATATAAAGGACAGGAAATAACTAGATAAAAATGTTAACAACAGGCTTTACTCTTCTTTCCTGTTTTGGTGATTTTCTACAATGAATATTAATGTTTAATAGTTATAAAATTAATGCTATTAAAGACATTCAAGGAAAAGCAAGCTCTTTAAAGAAAAGAGTCCATTTACATAATTTTATAATCATTATATAGTTGCTAAAGGATTGTTCTGTAGAATAATGAGCATCAATGAGCAAAAATAACCCCTATTTTATATCTACTTACCATTCTAATTATTATGATACAAAAATATACTCTTCCATACAAAATAGTTACATGCTTTACTTATTTTCAATATGTGAATCTGATTAGGACCCAAAAATCTTTCCCAAAGTCCCTGAATCTTCTATCTTCTAATACAAGTTTTAAAAACACAATTTCTAGCCTCATGGAGTTCTGTGTTCAATTCAAGTCCTACTCTCCTAATAATAAGATCAGAACTTAATCTTAGCCATATTTGATTCTGTTAATTGTAAATAAGATTATAATAGAAGACACTACTTTTCCTTTAGGTATGAAATCCAGGTTGAGAAGTAGAAACAGGACTAAACTAGTGGAAAGACCCACACCCCGGTAAAGTCTGCAACTCAAAACTGAGTGACTTTTTTCTGCGTTTCAGTCTCCTAACAAATAGAATAAAGAGCTCAAATAATTCTAAAGTCCCTTTTCCTAAGATTTTAAATATCACTGAAACAAGCACAAAAGCTAATTAAAGATGGCTAATTACATGAACACTAAATTCTAAAATAACAAATAGATATAAGAAAACTAATACCTATGCAGACATGATCTCATCAAAGTTTATATCCTTCTTATTCTTTTAATTACCTTTTATGGCACACTAGACTAAAGCACTGGCCTTTCCAACATAATTTACTATATTAAATGAAATAATTCATACCAAGGTTTATGACCTTGATATTCTATCAAATTCTTCCTAAGGCTCCCATATTTCCTTATTTTTAATAAAAAAGACATAAAAAATGAGGTATGGATAGGTTCACAATCTTTGGGAAGCAATGTAAAAGTTCTAAAAATAGCATAAGTAGAAAAATATAAAAATATAGAATTTTAGTAAACTTCCATTTTTAAAGCTCTCTCAAAAATGTTGCTTCAAAATAAGCATGTTTCATAAAATATAGCACATCAAAGTAAATATTCTACTTCCCATTTTTAAAATAATATGTTAAAAATTTAAAGTTTACAACTGAGAATTTTTAAGGATGTTATTCTTCACAGATCAAAAGGACTTATATGGGGCTGCAGTTGTAGCTCAGTGGTAGACCACTTGCCTATTACATTTGAGGCCTGGGTTCAAACCTCAGAACCACATAAAAATAAATACATAAAATAAAGGATTTGTGTTCCATCTACAAATAAAAATATATATTAAAAAGGGATTTAAATGAATACTTTGAAAAAAGAATAAAAAAATCATTAACAATAATATAAATGTATTTTTTATTTGAAAATCAAAAGTGTTCTTTAATAGAAACTTACTGTCATAGGAAAACCGGGAAGGGTTAGAGACCTGAGGGGTTGGAACCTGTAGTTCTTATGTCATTGGATGAGGAGGAGGATAAGAAAAGTGAAGGAAGACGAAGATGTAGGAGGGTAGGAAGGAGATGAATGTATTTGAGAGCGAAAGAACTGGAAGAAGATGGAAAGTTGGGAGAAGGAGAAAATATAGGAATATTCAATCAAAAACAACATGAGGAGCTGGCGTTGTGGCTCAGTGGTAGAGCACATGCCAAGCTTGTGTGAGACCTTGGGTTCGATCCTCAGCATTGTATAAAAATAAACAAATAAATAAATGAAGGTCCAAATACTGAAAACGAGAACAACAAAAAAATGACATTTTCAGACAGTACTTTACCGTATATTTTGAATAGCATCCTCATAGATAAAGCATATTTAAAATAATATTATTTAGCTTAACTTACTAAAATGTAACTCAACACTTACTCTTTGTCAGGGGTTTATATTAACTCTATAGTTCAAGAGAAATGTGAATCTCTAGATGTCACTTTAATTCAGAATAAAACCAAAAGAATCTGTAGTAAACGATTCTTTTGGTCTGGATCATTCCTCCATAAAACTACTGAAGTAAATAATCCTCTAGATGAGTTCAGAGGAACTCTTTAAAGCTGATTTGTAATCACTTGTTTTGGATGGCATTAGCTATATCAAAGTATTGATATTATCCAAACACTATTCAAAAATGAAAGCACCACAGAGAAAAAATTGTTAATTAATATTAAAAATGATGGTGTTCAGAGATTCAAGAAACTGGTAAAATTATCAGAGGTTGGCACACATGACGTCATTTACCAATGTTTCCCTGGTGATGACCTAATGAGAGAATACAAGCAAGTGGTCAAGAAATGATTCAAAATATAAAATTAAAAGTTTAGGAAGTTTCTTTATATTTAAATAAAGTTTAAAAATTTCTCAAACAGTAAATTTGAGAAAGTCTGAAATACAATGCCTTTTATCAAAATGATGCCCACTGAGTTGGCTTAGTTTGGAAAAATTACTCATTTGGCAATGACAACATTTTAAACTACATAAGCCTTTTAAATTAAGATTCAAATGATAAAAGATTCAAATGTGTTAAGATTCCTTTCTATAGATGTAGGATACACTTATGTTTTTTATCAATTACAATCTATACATTATATTGTTTGGAGTAACAGATGAGAAAAATGAAGCTAATGAAATACTGTGAAATAGACACCATACAAAAGAGAAAAGGTCATCTTCTGATCAGATGATAGTACACCATCTGTTCCCCTGCCACTCAGTGACAATTACAAATACTCCATCAGTTTTCTGGTAGATGGAAATGATGTATGAGGAAAAGCCTTCTTTTGCAGATTCTGATGTTTCTTTCTGATCTATTCTAAGGTTTAACAGATGACTCAAAGAAAGGACCAGAGTTCAACATACTTATTAATTTATCATGCTGTGAAGACTGAGAAAGATCTGAGCTGAATACTGCCACTAGAACCAAGACTTATAATGGAACAGTATGTTCACAGAATGTTCAGGTTTCAAATAAAGCAACTTGGATTGTTATCATCTCCATCCTTAGATATCATTTCAATATCAAAGTACCAATAATACCACTTATCATAAATAACATCACTGTTTCAATCCAAAATCAGTCAGGTAATGGTCATAGTCAGAACTCAATATCTCAGTGGCTTCCACAGTAAGAGTATGAGTCAGAAGCTTCACATCACACTCAACAGCACTGGAGTAAACATTCCATTTAAATGTATTAAGTTTAAAATGTTTAAGAAAAAGACACAAACAAAAATATAATACATAGTTTACAAGCTAAAGGATAAAAAAAAATATATGCTGCCCTAACACTAGAGGGAAAAAAAGTGGGATGGCTATATTAATATTAGTCAGGTAGATATCACAGAAAAAAATATGACCAGGGATAAAGAATGTAATTTTATAATAAAGGGGTCAATCACAAGGAAATAACAATCCTTGACATTTAAATAACTAATAACACAGATAAAACTACATGAAACAACAGCTAATAAGACTGCCAACAGAAATAGACAAATTCTCAAAATTGATGACTTCAAGAATCCTTCAAATATCTAGAGAACAAGTAAGCAGAAAATCATCAAGAATGCATAGATGAGCAAGCTTCTGAGGTGATGGATATGTTCACTATTGTAATCATAGTGTTAAAGTTTTATGAATGCATGGATATGCCAATATTTATTAAATTATACAACTGAAAATAAGAACAAGTAAATGTACAACAGTTGTATCTCAAATTTCTTTAAAAACAAATTCCTCAAAAAGGGCTGTTCCTAATCCTTTATGTGAAAGAAGTAATTCAATTTTCAAATTTCTTCATAAATACTTTCTGAGGAAAATAACTTTAACACATTCCAATACTATAAAACATTGTATCTACATAAAAAACAAAACAACATATAAAAACACAAATACTGTAAGACTAATTTATTTTTTTAATATTTATTTCTTAGTTGTACACAATACTTTTGTTTATTTATTTTTATGTGGTGCTGAGGATTGAACCCAGGGCCTCGCATGAGCTAGGTGCTCTACTGCTGAGCCACAACCCCGGCCCCTGTAAGACTAATTTAAAAGAACAAAATTGATCCAGAAGCTAAAACCAAAGGGAGGATAAAAATAAAGGGATAATAAGTGAAATTATTGACTAAAAGGGTGACAAAATACAAATAACATAGGGAATTAAAAGAATACTATTCATAGTTATATGAAACTGACTTGAAAACAGTACAAAAATAATTTTTGGAAAATTCTCACACTAGAAGAAAATTATGGACAAATAAAATATTTTAATAGTTTCATTAATAAAACTACAGAGCTGTTTTTTAAATCTTCCCACAGAGAAAAGTCCAGGACCAGATGAGTTTTACAGACAAATTCTGCAAAGATATCAAAGAAAAGACAATACTAATGTCATACAAATAGTTCAGAAATTTAAAAAAGCATAAAATGTTACTAACTTACTGTATGTGCATAATCCTGACACCAAAACCAGGGAAAGATGATGCAAGAAAGGAAAATTATAAAACTGTATCACCCATGAATTTGAATGCATCAACAGTGAGTAAAATACTAACAGTATATTAAAAAGATAATATGCCACTAACAAAAGAAGCTTTCCAATGATAGCTCAATATTAAAAAATTACTAGATATAATTCACTACACTGAAAGAATTAAATTACACAAATAACAAAAACACTCAAAAAATTAGAAACAGAAATTTCTCTAAGTGAAAAAGATTATTATTAAACATATAGAGCAAAAATTACTTTAAGAAGAAAACATTAGAATCAGTCTTTAAAATCAGAAGAGATAGGATGCTTGTTATCAGTACATGTGTTCAACATTGTTAATACAGATGCGAAATAGTGCTGTAAAAAATAGAAATTCACCAGAGAAAATTTTTTTAAAGTATATCAAAACAAATTCTCAGAAAGAAGTAAAACAGGAAATAGTAAAGCCAAAACATTAATCAAAGTGCAACAAAGAAGGATTAACAAAACAACCAAATTTATAAAAATTCATATATCTGGCAAGAATGATAAAGATGAAAATAAAGACAAATAAACAATGTTAGAAAAGAAAGAGAAAATAAGAGATTTCTTTTAATATCATAAAAGAATACTATAAAATTCTTTTGCAAATACTTTGGAAAACTTTTAAGAATAAAATATGTAACTTCCTAGAAAATGAAAAATTCACCAAAATACATGTAGTAAATCATAGAAAGTCCAAATGTAATCTAAGAAATAAATTTCTATTGTAAAATCTGCCCAGCCTATTAGGATGGCTACTATTAAAAAACAGAAAGTATTGGCAAGGATGTGGAGAAACTGCTAGTGAGAATGTAAAATGATATCACCATCGTGACAAATAGCATTTCTCATAACTTCAAAAATAGAATTATTATATGATCCAGAAATTTACTTCTGAGTACATACCCAAAAGAATGAAGAGCAAAGATTCAAACAAGTATTTGTATGCTTATGTTCATAGTAGCATTATGTGCAATAATCAAAAGATGGAAGCAACCCAACTGTCCAGCTATGGACAAATGTCTTAACAAAATATAGTATTTGAAAAGGAATACAACTAACTACAATAGAATGTCCACCCTAAGCAAGGAAATTCTGTCACATGCTATTAACATGAATGAATCTTTTTTTAATATTTATTTTTTGTTTTAGGTGGACACAGTATCTTTATTTTACATTTTTTTATGTGGTGCTGAGGATTGAACCCAGTGCCTCATGCATGCTAGGTTAGCGCTCTACACTGAGACACAACCCCAGTCCCATTAATGAATCTTAAAAACACTATATTGATGGAAAGAAGAAAGTCAGAAAAGGACAAATACTACATGGTTCTACTTATCTGAGATTCCTGGAGACAAAAATTAGAAGAAGGGTTGTCAGATACTGGGGGAAGAAAGGAATAGGGAGTTACTGTTTTTCATTTTACTGCTCTTCAAGATGCAAAATATTCTGTAGATGGTGTGATAATAACATAAGGTAACCAAACTATATACACTTAAAAATGATGATAAAAGATGGAACCTATGGCTTTGAAATCAGCAATGTAAGATCTCTACCTTTTTTCTTCTTTCTCAGGATTGCTCTAGCTACATAGGGTCATTATGATTCCATATGAATGTTTGAATTGCTTTTTCTATTGCTCTGAAAGACATCATTTTAATTTAACATGGATTGCACTAAATCTGTAGATTCTTTGGGTAATACTGACTATTTAACAATATCAATTTTTCCATTCCGTGAACAAAGGGTATCTTTCCTAACTTATTAATGTCTTCTTCATTTTCTTTCATCAGTGTTTTCCTGTGTAAAGATCTTTCATATCCTTGGTTAAATTTACTCATGAGCATCGTATTCCTTTTGATTGTATTGTAAATGAAACTCAAATTCTTTTTTCAACAGTTCGTTGTTAGTGTACAGAAACAAAACTCACTGTGGTAATCACTAATCAATATATATGTGTATTAAAACATCACATTTTATATCTTGTATACAAATAATTTTGTCATCTAAATTTCAACAAAACTAGAAAAAATAGCTGATAGTAAATTTTAAGTTCTGTGTATTTCACCACAAAAGGACCAAAAAATTTTTGAAAACACATAACAAGCACATAACAATAAAAATTATAATGCATTCCGCTGTCATATATAAATAAAAAATTTTAAAAAGAAACATACAATTTTACTGACGCATTAAATAAAACATTCAAGAAAGGAAACATTAAGAAAGGAAAATACTAGATGATTACAAAAACAAAGTTATGTGTTTTTAAGAATCATGACAAAACAAGTTTAAAATTAGAAAAATTAGGGCTGGGTTATAGCTCAGTGGTAGAGGGCTTGCCTAGCATGTGTGAGGCACTGGGTTCAATTGGTGGCACTACATCAATATAAATAAACGTATTATGTCCTTATATAACTAAATATTTTTTAATTAGAAAAATTACTATATTACACAAAAAATTAAAAGAAACCTCTTCCCAATTAAATTCTGCTAAAAAGTGGATTTCTCTTTAACTAAAGCAATTTTTAAAGGCAAGAATAAAATGGAGAAAATATCTAATACAAATTAATATTTATTTGTTATTTTTCAAATCTTACAAAACTAGAGATAGTAGGGAATTCCCTTAACTTGATAAAACACTTATAAAAACCTGTAAATTGATTAAATGAAAATTGCAAATTGATTAAACTAAAATTCTACTTTTAATTTAATCAATTTGGAATTTTAGAACAATTGATTAAAAAAGAAAAGTACAGTAAAACCAAGTCTTAATTTTATTCAGTTCAATATGCCAAATTAGGGTCAAATTTTACAGCTAATCAACAAAGCTGAAAATCTGATAAAAGTCAATTAACCATTCTTTAATTCTCTATTTGGGGGTCACTTCTACAACTCCAAAAAATAAGCTTGAGTTTAAAACTACACACACCTATTGAAACAATCTGATCAAAATGGTCCTAAATAGAATCCAGTGTTTGAACTCGTATAAAGGTGATCAAATGACACTGTAACATTTTAAAAGAATAAAAAATAATTAAGGGTGTAATTGGTTCAAATACCCAAATTTGCTAGAATGTTTTTTTCTGATGCAGATGCATCCATTTTAATTTCAATGTAAATGTATTTTTTTAAACGAACAAGACAAAGAAGAATCCTGAGCAATACAGACATAATCTCCATTATCCTCTTACCTTCCTTAATTTAAAAAACTGTGTTTACTTCCATCAAAGATACCTAGGTACACAATTTCACCAGATCAAACAACAACAACAACAACAACAAAAGTTTCTTACTTATCTCTTCACTTATTTCCCTAGTCCAGAGGCAACAATTTTACCTGAGAAATTTTTTTCTTTCTGTTCCTTAATACATATTCATACAGCTACTTCTTCACTTTTCACTTTTAGCATTATCTTGTGACTTCACACTATGGAACATAAAGATTTAGTTCTATTCCCTACACATGGTTCCA